AGTCTGCTGATGCCCAAGCTTCGGAGCTGGGGCTTGACCTGTTGCGGCCAGTTGCACGACGGCCAATCGAGGCAGACGTCAATGCGCAAGGAGGGGTTGTCCCCACCTTTGGTGCAGAAGGCGGGCATGTACAATCATTGCCTATGCCACTTGGACTAGGCACTGCTCCGGAAGCAGATTCAGCTATGGCAGTCGCTGCAGCTGCCGCAGCTGCCGCTGTTGCAGCAGCAGCGAGTACAGGAGGAGGAACATTCCCACGTCCAGCCATGCCCGGAATGCCCCAAGCGTTCTCAGGACCACCTTCTGCATCTTTGCCACTTTTCCGGCCAGGACTGTTTCAAGGTGCCCCACTGGGAGTACCTCCGCTTGGAGGTATTCCCGAGGGAGCGTCAATGCCAACAGGGCTGATGCCAGGCGGAAATCCCCCATCAATTGACCCTCTGTTGTGGCTACCTCAGCTCTTCAGCCCTTCACAGCTTGCTGTGATGCAGTTTCAAAACCCAGGTGATGCATCTTCCTTTTGTTCCCTGCTGTTCATTTTTATGTAGGAGCTTTTTCTAATGTGGTCCTTTTGCCTGTGCACTACACTGCAGGCTTCATGAACTATTACTTGGAGTATTCAAGAACACTCTTCTCACTATACCAGCCTGGTTCTGGGAACGCATCTTCACCACCATTTCCACCTTCAACCATTCTAACAGCTTTACCACCATCAGTCACACCGCCATTGCAACCACCCTTGCCAGCTGCAATTCATCCCTCGTACCTCCACCCTTCCCCCTCAGCACCTTTTCCTCCTCGCCCACCTCCAGTCCATATCCCTATGCATACAGCAGCTCCCATGGGCTACCAGTTTCTCCTTCCACCCACTACACAAAGTGCTGCAACAGCAACACCTGTGGAGGCTGAAGCCCAGGCATCGTTGCCTGCTCCATCAACACCGAACCTTGTTCCATCAGGGAGCCCTTTGAAGCCCAGTCAGTTGAAGCTCTCACTATCAAACGAAGCTCTCACTTCCAGAGACTCTGCTGGTCTTCAAGTGACAGCAGCAGCACCTGCAAGACCACTTCCTGAGCAGCTGCACACAAATCTGGAGCTAGGTTTGGCCATTCGCACAGCCACGTCTCCAGCGAAAGACACAGATGCCACTGAGGAGGACCGAGGCAAAGGCAAGGCGAGCTGCCAGCCAGATTCACCACTTGGAGTGGCGGAACCTGATGGTGCTAAAAGTACTCCAGACGCTCAAGTCACACCTATGGGGCATGCTAGGGCAGAGGAAGGGACCACGGTGTCCAACATCATCACACAGAAACTATTGTAGAGCTAGATAGGTAGGCCAGCACTAGGAGTAGGACTGGTGGAACACTGTTTTTTGTGTGTTGGGACATGGTTATTCAAATGGGCCTGTATTGTAAATCACACAAAGCTGTTTCTAACTTAGTTATATGAAGGAAGTGACTTGTGTCCTTAGATACCAGGCACGTTGCACATGTGGGCAGGCCAATAACTTGTACAGTAACAGAGATCCTCTCTTGATAGAACCACGGGGTGTGGATTGTCTGAACACACAGTGGAGCACAATTCAGCCAAAGCAGACTACCGCAGTTGCCCCAGAGCAGTTACTATGAATTACACACCTTGTATGGAGCCTATCAAAACTCAAGGGCGGAAGCCATGATCTGCTAGTGCTACTGGTATAAGAGAAACGGTGCATGGCCTGGGGCCGAACGACCTACAAGCCGCAGTTGGCTTCTTGGCAGAAATAACGTGAAGGCTGTTCCTCGTGGAGAGTTGCACTTGCACAGCACAACACCCTTGCACGATTTAGCTGCCTATCAGTGTTTTTTTTTTTTTTTTTTGCCAGGGGTTATCTAAGCTGCTGCTGCTGCCGCAAGAACCCAATTATTTCTTCAAAGCTTGGTCGCAGCGAGGACTCACTGGAGGCGTGGAGGGAGGAAAGGGGTTGCGGCATGCAAATCAGGCCATAAAATGAGTGCATGATGCAGATTGATGGGAGAAAAGAGGGCAGGTAAGGAAAAGGAACACCAAGGGACGAGACGAGGAGTGGGAAGCAGCACGGAGCGGTGAGGGGGGGGGCATACTCGCTCCAGCAGGACTTGATGACTGCAGCGACTCTGCTGTCTATAATGACTTATGAGTCGACTCAAGAGGCAGCAAGCAGCAATGAGCAGTGACTCAAGAGGCAGCAAGCAGCAATGAGCAGTGTGTGAGAGGGGAAGCATACTCGCTCCAGCATGACTTGATGACTGCAGCGACTCTGCTGTCAATCGTATCTGGCACCTCCAGGCGCCTGTTCTGATACCCCACTGCTCCCACCACCTGTCATACACATGTTATACACACATGCCACATGCCACACACATGTTGTACACACATGTCACATGCCACACACATGTATACACACATGCCATATACAAATGCGACACACACATGTCACATAAAAAAAAAAAAAAAAAAAAAAAAAAAAAAAAAAAAAAAAAAAAAAAAAAAAAAAAAAAAAAAAAAAAAAGGTCTGCACATGAGCACATGACTCAATCACATCTGAAGAGGATATTAACTAAGTCTTTGCCCCGTGAGGGCATTAAAACCCACCTGAAGGGCGTTGAGGCCCGACCATGGCTGCTGCATGGTTGCAAGCTCCCACAGAATGACACCAAAGCTATACACATCCGCCCTGCAACCAGCAGAGGAGAAAGCAAGGAGAGAAGCAAGGATAACGGGACTTCACACTATGAGTCGACTAGAAAACACTGCATGGTTGCAAGCTCCCACAGAATCACACAAAAGCTATACACATCCGCCCTGCAAGTTGCAACCATGAGAGGAGAAACAACGAGATAAGCAGGCATAAGATAAGAGGACACTGTGTGTGCTGGAAGGACAAGGCAATGAGGGGCATGTTTAGAATTCGCGTGTGCGAGCGATAGTTCTTGGGGGTGAAAAGAAAGACTTACATCCCATTATAGGGCAAAATACATTTCATGTTTCGAGTAACCGACGCAAGCATCAGTTTTCATGAGTAGGACAGCCAAAGAAAGACTCACTTTTCATTGGAGGGTTCGTTGCGCAACACTTCGGGAGCCATCCACTCAGGCTGCGACAGATGCACAACCATGCACGCACATGCCATGCCATCATGACCCATGCGGGCACATGCCATCATGACCCATCATGACCCATGCCAGCACATGCCATGCCATCACACAGCATGAGGTGACAAGTGGAAACATTCACACCAAAAACATTTTTGAGGCGCCTTAAAATTTTTGGAAACATTTCCAACAAGAAGCTGAATCTTGTCAGTAATTGGGTGAGGCAAAAAATCCAAGCTCGCATTTCACAACCCTATTATGATCATAGAAAACCCACCCTCCCATCTCACCCATCTCAACCACCCCTTATCCCCCCTCCTCTCACCGTGCCGGCACCAGAGCGGGTGGAGAGGAACGTTCGATGCTTCAATCTGGAAAGCCCGAAGTCGCACACCTGGGGAGGGGGGGGGTAGGAGTGTCGGGAGGAGAGGGTGGGGGAGACAGAGGTTGGGGGTCATGCCGTGCCGCTTGAAAACATAAACATTGTGTAGACACACCTTGACATCACGCCCCGTATAGTCACACCCACACCCACACCCACACCCACACCCACACCCACACCCACACCCACACCCACACCCACTACAGTCACACATTGACTGTCTCACCCATGCCCACTACAGGCACACACACACCTTGACGGTCCAGTCCTTGTCCACGAGCAGGTTGGGCGTTTTGAGCTACTCTTGGCTGTCTCTCCCACGTGCACTGTACACACAAACATTTACTGTCACGCCCATACCCCCTGCGCTACAGTCACACCCACTGGAATCACACCTTGACGGTCCAGTCCTTATCCACGAGCAGGTTCGGCGTTTTGAGGTCCCGGTGAACGATGGGAGGCTTGCGCTTGTGTAGATAGTTCATGCCTTTTGCCTGGCGGGTGGAAGGAGTAAGAGGGAAAACAAAGTGGGGGGTGGGGGAAAGGGGGGGGGGGGGGGGGTGGGAAAATGATAGCAAGTTAGCAACTGAGGTCCCGATGCACAATGGGTGGCTTGCGCTTGTGTAGATAGTTCATGCCCTTCGCCTGGCGGGTGGGTGAGGGCCATACAAAGGAGGTGCGGTGAGGTGCGGTGAGGTGAGGTGAGGTGAGGTGATGTATGGGCTTGACATGTCTGGGACTCAAGGGCGGTACACAATGGGCGGCTTGCCCTTGTGCAGGTAGCTCATGCCCTTGTGCAGGTAGCTCATGCCCTTGTGCAGGTAGCTCATGCCCTTTGCCTGGCGGGTGGGTGGTGGTGGAGGGATGGGTAGGTGTGTGATGGTGGATCGATTGGGGATAGGGGATGGCTGGCTGTGTGTGATTGCAATACACATCCCATCACATGCACATCCCATCACATGCACATCCCATCACATGCACATCCCATCACCATCACCCAAACACATCCCATCACCATCACCCAAACACATCCCATCACCCATGCGCATCCCACCGCACCCATGCACATCAGAACCCACATTCAATCACCCATGCACTTCACCTTATAGCTGCATCTCACCACATCAAGCGCAAAGCTCAGTCTCCGCTGAGGTGTCAGCTCGCGATTGGGCTGCTGCAGCAGCCTGAAGATACTTCCCCTGCAAAACACACGGGCAGGCGGCGAAACTTACAATGTAAAAAGGGCACTCGACATACTCGAGGAACTAAAAAACAAAAACAAAAACATGAGAGGTGCAGGCCCACCCTTGGAACGTTTAGGAACCGCAAGAACCAGACTTACAACGGGCAGAAGTCTGTGAACATAGAGAGGGAGGTGGGGCGGGCGCCGGGCACCTATGAACACGTTAAAGTAACCTACCGTGGACAGAACTCAATTACTATAGAGAGGGAGGTGAGGCAAGCACAGCACCTAAGGAGGTGTGCGCCGTCTCGTCACTCAAAGGTCAGACGTACCGCGGGCAGAACTCGGTGACTATAGAGAGGTGGGGCGGGCGGGTGACAGCACCCATGAGGTAGAGCACGTTGGGGTGGCGCGCCTTGAACATTATGGCCACCTGATGGGGGGGAGAGGTGGGGTTGGGTTGGAAAAAGGGGATCGGTGGATGAGTGAGGGGGCAAGGGCAAGGGCACGAGCTTTTTTAGCTCGACGTCAGTCTCATACCTTGGTTTGTATACAGCGTGATTCAATTCAGAAAATGCCAACTCAATTATTTCTGAGTGATTTCATCTCACCTCTGTTCGGTTTCATCTCATCCCTGTATGGTTTCATATCATCCATGTACAGTCTCATCTCATCCCTGTGCAGTTTCGTCTCATCCCTGTACGGTTTCATCTCATCCCTGTACAGTCTCATCTCATCCCTGTACGGTTTCGTCTCATCCCTGTACGTTTCATCTCGTCGCTGTACGGTTTCATCTCACCCCTGTACGGTTTCATCTCATCCCTGTATGGTTTAATCTCATCCCCGTACAGTTTCATCTCATTCCTGTACGGCTTCATCTCATCCCTGAATGGTTTCATCTCATCGCTGTACGGTTTCATATCATCGTCGTACGGTTTCATCTCACCCTTGTACGGTTTCATCTCATCCCTGTATGGTTTCATCTCATCCTTGTACGGGTTTCATCTCATCCCTGTACGGTTTCATCTCATCACTGTACGGTTTCATCTCATTGCCGTACGGTTCCATCTCATCACTGTACGGTTTCTCGCTGTACGGTTTCATCTCATCGCTGTTCCATCTCATTGCCGTACGGTTCCATCTCATCACTGTACGGTTTCATCTCATCGCTGTTCCATCTCATCGCTGTGCGGGTTGATCTCATCGCTGTACGGTTCCATCTCATCGCTGTATGGTTTCATATCATCGCTGTACGGTTTCATCTCATCCCTGTACGGTTTCATCTCACCTCTGTCCTGAAGTCCTCGAGAGCATGGGAGCCCAGGTCCTGGTCTAGAAAGACCTTCACTGCCACGTCCTGAGTGCAGCAGCGGGGGAGAGATGGGGGAGGGCAGGGAAGGGAGTGGGATCGCAGGGGAGGGCAGGGGAGAGCAGGGGAGAGCAGGGGAGGGAGGTAAGGGGAAAGAGCTTCACTACCACTTGCTGGTTGCAGCAGCGGTGAGCGGCGAGGGGCGGGGGGTGGAGTGAGGGCAGAGGGCAATGTGAGGCGAGGGGTGGGGGAGGGTAGGGGCAAATGGAAGGGGAATCCCATCACAGCATGAGGGCAGCACTTAGAATGAATAAAATACATGGAGGGATGAGAGGGCGCAGCGGGGATGGCAGGGGAGGGCAATGTGAGGCGAGGGGTTGAGGGGGGGGTTGCATGGGTTGAAGGGAAATCTCCAATGTGAGCAGCACATGAAATGAATGAAATACATGGAGAGAGGGCAGGGCGCAGAGTGGAAGCAGGGGGGACGTTTGCAAGGCAGATTTTTTAGGCGCCTCAAAAATCGCAGAGTGGATGCAGGGGTAACGTTTGCAAGGCAGGGGTAGCAGACAACGTTTGAGCGACATAAAGGAGCGGAGGAGAAAAAGGGACGTGCCCACTCACCGATCCCTGCCACTCTGCTCGGTATACTGTGCCGTATGAACCTGGATGGGTTGGGCGTGCAAGGGGGGAGTGTGGGGCAACAACATGTGTTCGTGCAAGAGGTGCAGAGCAGTACGAAACGGTGCAGATAGCTTTGTGATACCAGATTTGTTTTCATACGTTTCAAAACCAATCTGCAAAACGTTGCAATGGTGTGGAAAGGTTAGGATGGTGTGGATAGGTTAGGATGGTGTGGATAGGTTAGGATGGTGTGGATAGGTTAGGATGGTGTGGATAGGTTAGGATGGTGTGGATAGGTTAGGATGGTGTGGATAGGTTAGGATGGTGTGGATAGGTTAGGATGGTGTGGATAGGTTAGGATGGTGTGGATAGGTTAGGATGGTGTGGATAGGTTAGGATGGTGTGGATAGGTTAGGATGGTGTGGATAGGTTAGGATGGTGTGGATAGGTTAGGATGGTGTGGATAGGTTAGGATGGTGTGGATAGGTTAGGATGGTGTGGATAGGTTAGGATGGTGTGGATAGGTTAGGATGGTGCGACGCGCGCGAAGAGAGTGGGAACGGATGCCATTACTTAAAATCCAACTTATCTCAGCATCCCATTCTCACTGAGGGAACGCTGGCCAGTGGCTCCTTTTTTTCCCCCCACGCCACCTCCCCCAACCGGTGCATTCTCTATTCTCTCCCGCAAGTGCATGTCAGCCCAGTCGATCTCAAGCTCCTTCATTACCCACTGCAGCACAAACATCACCCCTTCCCGTCCCCCATCCCCTCTTCTCTCACCTTCCTCCTTCCCACCTTGCCCCCTTCCCACCTTGCCCCCTCTCTCACCTTGCCCTATTCTCTCCCGCAAGTGCAAGTCAGCCCAGTCGATCTCAAGCACCATCGCAGCACCACAACCCACCTTTCTCCACTCTCTTCCTGCCTCCATCCCCTCTTTCCCCTCCTCCTCTCTCACCCTGCCCTATTCTCTCTCGCAAGTGCATGTCACCCCAGTCGATTTCAACCTCCTTCATTGCCCATCGCAGCACCATAGCCCCCTCATTCGGCCCCTCTAACTGCTGCCAGCCCACCATTTCCCAGCTCCCTTCCTCACTCCCCTGTCCCCCTCCCGCCCTTCTCTCACCTTGCCCTATTCTCTCCCGCAAGTGCATGTCACCCCAGTCGATTTCAAGCTCCTTCATTGCCCATCGCAGCACCATAGCCCCTTCATCCGCCATCTCCCGCGCCCCCGCTGCCCCCCCTGCTCCCCCCGCCCCTCCCCGCCCGTCCTCCCCACTCTCCTCCTCTGCCTCCCTCCCCCTCCCTCCCCTCCTCCCCCCTTTCGTCCTCCCCGTCCCCTTCTCCCCCGCCTTGCCTTTCCTCCCCTTTCCCCCTTTTCCTGGCGCCACCACTCCCCACCCCTCCATAATCCCCCCTTTCCCCCTGGCGCCTCTCCCCCCTCCTCCGCCGTCTCCCCCTGCTCCCCCTTGCGCCCATGCGCCTTCCCCCCCTGCGCCCCCCCAGAACACCCGCTCACTGCCTGCGGGGCTCTTAAGCCATCTCCCCAGCATCCCCCCGCTGCTCCCCCCACCTTCCGCCATTCCCTCCATCATCCCCCCAGATGCGCCCGCATCCCCACCTTCCCCACTCCGCTCTGCGCCCCCCCTGTCCGCCCCCCCAGCACCACCAGCGGGGGGATTATCCCCTTGCCCCATGCTTCCCCCTACTCCCCCCCCTGCCCCTCCGCCCCCTCCCCCCGCTTCCCCCAACGTGCTAAGCCTGCCTGAGCGCCTCTCTGCTCCCCCCGCGCTCCCCCTTCCCCCTGACAATCCCCCCTGCCCCCACACCGCCCTCCTAATCCCGCACCCACAACTGCTCCGCCCTGCAAACCGCTGCTGCGTGGCCAAGGCATAAACCGACGGCTCAGATTCAATCCCCACCCCCTCTGCCCGCTCTCCATCCCCTCCTTCCGCTCCCCCTCCTCCTGACCCTCCTCTCCCGTCCCCACTCGCCCCTTGTCCCCCACCCGTCCCTGTGCCCTCCGCCCTTGCCCCTGCGCCGGGCTGTTGGGGGGAGGACCCGGGGGGGCGCGGGGGGCGCGAGTGCAGGTGCAGGCGCGCGGATTGGGCGGGGGAGGCGGACCAGGGGGAGGGGAGGTCGAACTGCAGGGGGGACCTGAGGAAGGCGGGACCTGCCACGGTGCCATCGTGAGAACGAGAGGCCATCTGTCCAGGATGCCTCATCACGTCTACCAGCCACTCCCTGATTGGGGCAGAAAAACAGGGAGAGTGGAGGAGGGAGGTGAGAGAGGGAGAGAGGGCGATTTGAGGGGCGGGACCTGCCTGCCACGGTGCCATCGTGAGATTGAGAGGCCATCTGACCTGGATGCCTCATCACAAGCCACAGGAGGGACAGAGAGAACAGGGGGGTCGGAGGAAGAGGTGAGAGGAGGAGGGAGGGCCAGCCTTAGCACACTGTACCTTTTGTGCTGACGTCAGCCTCAGCATATTGCACCTGCTGTGATGACGCCAGACAAAAAATGCTCAATCTCTTGAACTCACGTCAGCCCTAGCATGCTATGCCTGGTGCTGACGTCAGCCCTAGCATTCCATGCACGTCGTGCTGACGTCAGCCCTAAAATGCTCTGTGCATACCTGTTGTGGCGGCAGCGCGTGGCAATGAGTGCCTCCCCATTGGTCCCTCGAATCATGCGACACGGGATGCCAAAGTAATCTGCTAGCGCCTGTTGTGCTGACGTCAGCCCTAGCATGCTTGCTATGTGTGTGTACGTACCTGTTGTGGCGGCAGCGTGTGGCAATGAGTGCCTCCCCATTGGTGCCTCGAATCATGCGACATGGGATGCCAAAGTAATCCGCTAGGGCCTGTGAGCGAGCAGGGGAGACACACACACGCACAGCACAGGGTGAGCGAGACAAGGTTTTAGAATCAAATCATGCGGCACGGGATGCCAAAGTAATCTGCTAGCGCCTGTGAGAAGGGCACACGGGGATGAGAGGACAATGCAGGAGGCAGGCAGGCAGGGAGGAGAGGACAGAGGCAGGGACGACGAGAGGGTACAGGGCAGGGAGGATTGGGGATGGGACGCAGCAACAAGGGGAGATGATGGCACACACCTTGACAAGCATGATGGCACACACCTTGACAAGCATGATGGCACACACCTTGACAAGCATGATGGCACACACCTTGACAAGCATGATGGCACACACCTTGACAAGCATGATGGCACACACCTTGACAAGCATGATGGCACACACCTTGACAAGCATGATGGCACACACCTTGACAAGCATGATGGCACACACCTTGACAAGCATGATGGCACACACCTTGACAAGCATGATGGCACACACCTTGACAAGCATGATGGCACACACCTTGACAAGCATGATGGCACACACCTTGACAAGCATGATGGCACACACCTTGACAAGCATGATGGCACACACCTTGACAAGCATGATGGCACACACCTTGACAAGCATGATGGCACACACCTTGACAAGCATGATGGCACACACCTTGACAAGCATGATGGCACACACCTTGACAAGCATGATGGCACACACCTTGACAAGCATGATGGCACACACCTTGACAAGCATGATGGCACACACCTTGACAAGCATGATGGCACACACCTTGACAAGCATGATGGCACACACCTTGACAAGCATGATGGCACACACCTTGACAAGCATGATGGCACACACCTTGACAAGCATGATGGCACACACCTTGACAAGCATGATGGCACACACCTTGACAAGCATGATGGCACACACCTTGACAAGCATGATGGCACACACCTTGACAAGCATGATGGCACACACCTTGACAAGCATGATGGCACACACCTTGACAAGCATGATGGCACACACCTTGACAAGCATGATGGCACACACCTTGACAAGCATGATGGCACACACCTTGACAAGCATGATGGCACACACCTTGACAAGCATGATGGCACACACCTTGACAAGCATGATGGCACACACCTTGACAAGCATGATGGCACACACCTTGACAAGCATGATGGCACACACCTTGACAAGCATGATGGCACACACCTTGACAAGCATGATGGCACACACCTTGACAAGCATGATGGCACACACCTTGACAAGCATGATGGCACACACCTTGACAAGCATGATGGCACACACCTTGACAAGCATGATGGCACACACCTTGACAAGCATGATGGCACACACCTTGACAAGCATGATGGCACACACCTTGACAAGCATGATGGCACACACCTTGACAAGCATGATGGCACACACCTTGACAAGCATGATGGCACACACCTTGACAAGCATGATGGCACACACCTTGACAAGCATGATGGCACACACCTTGACAAGCATGATGGCACACACCTTGACAAGCATGATGGCACACACCTTGACAAGCATGATGGCACACACCTTGACAAGCATGATGGCACACACCTTGACAAGCATGATGGCACACACCTTGACAAGCATGATGGCACACACCTTGACAAGCATGATGGCACACACCTTGACAAGCATGATAACACACACCTTGACAAGCATGATAACACACACCTTGACAAGCATGATAACACACACCTTGACAAGCATGATAACACACACCTTGACAAGCATGATAACACACACCTTGACAAGCATGATAACACACACCTTGACAAGCATGATAACACACACCTTGACAAGCATGATAACACACACCTTGACAAGCATGATAACACACACCTTGACAAGCATGATAACACACACCTTGACAAGCATGATAACACACACCTTGACAAGCATGATAACACACACCTTGACAAGCATGATAACACACACCTTGACAAGCATGATAACACACACCTTGACAAGCATGATAACACACACCTTGACAAGCATGATAGCACACACCTTGACAAGCATGATGGCACACACCTTGACAAGCATGATAACACACACCTTGACAAGCATGATAACACACACCTTGACAAGCATGATAACACACACCTTGACAAGCATGATAACACACACCTTGACAAGCATGATAGCACACACCTTGACAAGCATGATGGCACACACCTTGACAAGCATGATAACACACACCTTGACAAGCATGATAACACACACCTTGACAAGCATGATAACACACACCTTGACAAGCATGATAACACACACCTTGACGAGCATGATAACACACACCTTGACAAGCATGATAACACACACCTTGACAAGCATGATAACACACACCTTGACAAGCATGATAACACACACCTTGACAAGCATGATAACACACACCTTGACAAGCATGATAACACACACCTTGACAAGCATGATAACACACACCTTGACAAGCATGATAACACACACCTTGACAAGCATGATAACACACACCTTGACAAGCATGATAACACACACCTTGACAAGCATGATAACACACACCTTGACAAGCATGATAACACACACCTTGACAAGCATGATAACACACACCTTGACAAGCATGATAACACACACCTTGACAAGCATGATAACACACACCTTGACAAGCATGATAACACACACCTTGACAAGCATGATAACACACACCTTGACAAGCATCTCACCTTGAAGAGCAAGGCGCGGTGGCGACTCAGACCCAGCTTGATGCTCCCGATGAGCATGATGGGCGATCCAGCCCGCACCCTGCTCTCCCGAGCCAGCTCCTCCCACACCTCCTGAACAGGTTCGGCGCCAAGGCAAGGCGTGCGTTGATGGAAAACGCAAGGGCGGGTCAGAGCAAAGGGATCGTTAATGGGGCTAAGATGGAGTGTGTTGTATCGGTGTGACTTTGGGAAAGCAAGCAGAGCTAGATGGAGGTTTGAGAAGTCTCTTACAAAGGACAGAACTGATAGAGTCGGAGAGAGGAGGGGAGGGGAGAGGAGGAGACAGAGGGAAAGGTTGGGAGGAGGGGGGGTGGCTGAGCGGGAGGAGGCATAGATACGGGAGACAAAGACAGACGATCGGAATGGAGACAAAGACAGATGATCGGAATGGAGACAAAGACAGATGATCGGAATGGAGACAAAGACAGATGATCGGAATGGAGACAAAGACAGATGATCGGAATGGAGACAGCGGGTGAAGAGAATGGAGACAGCAGGTGAACAGAATGGATAGCATTGCTTAAAGAAGAGGAGACTCACGTAGGTCTCTTCGTTTTGAGACGTCTCAAAACTAGAAGAGGAGACTCACATAGGTCTCTTCGTTTTGAGACGTCTCAAAACTAGAAGAGGAGACTCACATAGGTCTCTTCGTTTTGAGACGTCTCAAAACTAGAAGAGGAAACTCACATAGGTCTCTTCGTTTTGAGACGTCTCAAAACTAGAAGAGGAGACTCACATAGGTCTCTTCGTTTTGAGACGTCTCAAAACTAGAAGAGGAGACTCACATAGGTCTCTTCGTTTTGAGACGTCTCAAAACTAGAAGAGGAGACTCACATAGGTCTCTTCGTTTTGAGACGTCTCAAAACTAGAAGAGGAGACTCACATAGGTCTCTTCGTTTTGAGACGTCTCAAAACTAGAAGAGGAGACTCACATAGGTCTCTTCGTTTTGAGACGTCTCAAAACTAGAAGAGGAGACTCACATAGGTCTCTTCGTTTTGAGACGTCTCAAAACTAGAAGAGGAGACTCACATAGATCTCTTCGTCGTTCGGCACAGGCCCACCCATGGCCTCTGCTACCACCCTGGCAGAACACATAGGAACGGGAATGAACGGAGGGGACAGGGAGGGGAGATAAGAGGGAGAGGGTGAGGGAGGGGAGAGAGGGGGAGAAGGAGAGGGAGGGGAGAGGGAGGGGAAAGGGAGGGAGGGAGAGGAGAGGGAGGGGAGAGGGAGGGGGGGAGGGAGAGGGAGGGGAGAGGGAGGGAGTGAGGGGAGAGGGAGGGGAGAAGGAGGGGAGAGGGAAGGGAGAGGGAGGGGAGAGGTATGAGAGAGAGATTATAGAGCCTTAAATGAGTTGAAATGAATGGGAGGTGAAATGGAGAGAGGGGAGAGGGAGGGGAGCAGGCCAGGTATGCATGGGAGCGCGTGAGGGGAGAGGGAGGGGAATTGAAACGGAGGGGAAGAACGGAATGGGAAACGAGGGGCGTTGGAGTGTGGAGTCCATGGGATGAAACGATAATGGAAACCTGGGAAAGGTTGATAGGGCAGCGGGCTGATCGGTACGGGTGATAGTGCACTGCAGAATGCTCCCACCCACTCAACCCACCCACCCAGTACACCCACCACCCCACCACATGCAACCTACCTTGCAATCTCACCCGCCGTGGGCTCCCCGCTCTTCTCCTCCTCCCCCTGTCCCTGCCCCTGCGCCTGCGCTTGTCCCTGCCCCGGCCCCTGCCCCTGCGCCTGCGCCTGCCCCTGCGCCTGCCCCTGCCCCTGCCCCTGCCCCTGCCCCTGCGCCTTCCCACACCCAGCCGCCAGCCTAGCAACGAGCTTTCTGAGCCCAGAGTCCTCTTCAAAGTCCACCAGCACCACGTCTACCGCCGTGTCATGCGCTGCCAGCGCGCGCAGCATGTCCAGCGTCGGCATGTGGCCCTGCCCGCTCCCACACCCATCCACCCACACCCCTCGCCCCACCCTTCCCACCCATCCCACCCACCCACCCCAGCACATTCAGCCTACCTTGCAACGTCGCCTGCCGTGGGCTCTCCATTTCTTTCCCCCTCCCCCTGCGCCTGCCCCTGCGCCTTCCCACGCCCTGCCGCCAGCCTAGCGACCAGCTTTCGGAGCCCGTTATCCTCCTCGAAGTCGACCAGAACCACGTCCACCGCCGTGTCATGCGCTGCCAGCGCGCGCAGCATCTCCAGAGTCGGCATGTGGCCCTGCCCGCGCGCCTCCGCGCACACGCCCCACACCTTGGCGTTCAGCGCGGAACCAAACACCCCATAGAACCGCGAGTCCGCGGCGTCGCTGTATTCTAAGACTTGTGTGGTCTGAGGAGGGGTTGGGAACGGTGGGGAGTGGTGGGGAGTGGCGGGCGGGGGGTGGGGAGTGGTGGAGAGTGGTGAACGGCGGTGGGGGAGATGAGACTGGCGTGTTCACGCGCACACGCCCCATACCTTGGCGTTTAGTACGGACCCGAACACCCCATAGAACTGCGTGTCGTCCGCGACGCGTCTTCTCTAAGCGGGGATTTCAGGAGCGAACTCGAACCCTCAATGGCCCGGAGGCAAAAGCGCGCCACAATAGCAACGCGTTTGGAGACGTCTTGGGACTCGAACCCTAAATGTGCGGGAAATGCGGGGCCCTCACTAGCAACGCGTTTCCCGACACCTTAAGATTCAAACCCTAAAATGAAAAAGCGCTGCGATTCCCGCACTAGCGTTGCAAGCCTTGCTAGCAGCGCGGCGCACCGACCGAATCGACTTCAGTCACACGCATCGCGAAAGACACGCGCACGCGCACCCAACGAATGCACGCACACACGCATGCATGCAAGCACGCACGCACGCACGCACAAGACAGCGCATGCTACTGTGTATCATTGCAACAGGGTACACTACAACGCATACATTCTCGACGCGCGCGGAGGACGTAGGCGATCAGAACTAGCGCTCACCCAGAAGCGGAAGATGCACCACTCCAGCTCCCACGGATGCTACACGCAACAGGGTACACTACAATGCGACAGGCTACATCATAACGTGTACGCGACATAGGTGATCGGAACTTAGCGCTCAGCCAGAACCGGAAGATGCACCGTTCCAGCTCCCGCGGATGAAGCTTATGCCCCGGCCCGAGGTACGCGACAACGAATGCTACACTTAAAAAAAGGCTCGCGAATATGGATGAACAGAATGAACGCTCGACTAACGCTGACGCTCACCCAGAAGCGGAAAATGCATCGCTCCAGCTCCCACGGATGCAGCTTATGCCCCGGTCGCCGCTCGTCCTCCTCCCTCCCCCGCGCGACACTCCCGTCGTCCCTCCCCGCCTTCCGCGCGCCCCCTCTCCTCCTATCCCCCGCGCCAGTTACCCCCTTGCCCCGCGCGTCGAACTCTGCAAAGTCCAAACCCGCCCGCCCGGACCCGCGTCGCTTCTCGCTTGCTTCGTCTAGAAACGACGCCTCCGCGGCTAGGCGCAGCGCGAGGGCTAGTTGAAGCCGGTAGTCTTCACCGGCGCGCTCGAAGTTGATATCGTTGGACGGTTTCGCGTCAGCTACTAACGAGGATGAGATGGAGGAAGGAGGCTCGGAGACGGTAACGGATGGGACGGGGGGGTGGGAGGCGAGGGAGGAAAGATGCTGCTGCTGTTGCTGCTGCTGCTGCTGCTGCTGTTGCTGCTGCTGCAGTAACTGCTGCTGTTGATAATGCTGCTGCTGCTGCTGTAGCTGCTGCTGTAGATGCTGCTGCTGTAGCTGCTGTTGTTGATGCTGCTGTTGCTGCTGTAGCTGCTGTTGTTGATGCTGCAGTTGCATGTTCTGCGCAGCGCGCATCTGCGAACCTCGCTGCATCGTCGCATCGCCATCTCCGCGCGTCATGACGTCTCTATCCGCCCCTAACGGGTCGCCTATATCGGAGTACCCGGCGTCTCCGGCATAGTAGTGTCTGGAATCAACGGCTAGATCATCCTCGAAGCTCCTATACGCTCTCCTATCAATCGGACGGCCTCCATTTCGTCTGCGAAGGAGCTGGTCGCCATATCCGGGCGATTTCGGTTGGGCTGATCGACGAAGTCTTTATTTGCGAGATCCATCTCGGAAGCGAATATCAGAGCTCTAGAAAAAACCTCGTCACTCGCAGCAAATAAGCACTACACTGTAGGGTTTTGCAGCATTTAGCCTCCGTGCGTGGAGGAAGTTGCAGGTTGTGTCTTGTGGTTGGGGGGAGGGGAGGAAAAGCGGCAAAAGCAACTCTCAAAACTCATTTTTATCCTCCACGTCACTTTCAAAGTCGACGTTGACGAAGCGTCAGGTAACCACCTGCCCTCTTTTCTCACATCTTGCCACAGTCGAGTGATGGAGATTGGGCGGTGGCGAGCTTCACGACGTTCGCGAATCACGGGTGCAGAGTCAACGAAGCCGTGTTCGAAAGTTCGCAGGACTCTCATCCAGTCAAGCGCGGCTGGCAGGCAATCCAGGACGTCCCTCCAGCAGGACACAGCGAAGCTGCCAACGGTTACGCTTCACCGAATCACCGCAACTATCACAGGCAGAGGCGGTGAGAGGCTGGCTCCTCGTCGTCAAAGAGTGTGCCTAATTGTTTCGTGGGGCGGCAACGAACTCATGTACTGTACTCTAACGAAAAGCGCGTCTTCGCAAATAAGATGAGACACACCGCATGGCGACGAACAAGTGGCGTAATTGACGGTGACTGCCAGCCACCACAGACGAATTGGCCTCATGCAAATGGGATCCCATCGTTACAGCTTGCTTGGTGTAGCAACAGCTGATGATATTTGGCAGCCGCTGGTTGGTTGAAACAAATTCTAGCAGGTCCACGCCCGCGGCAGAATTTGTACACGCTCCAGCAATCACAATTGACCGCGGGACGCGGAAATAAGCACTGGTGCTTAGACGTGGAATTCGCAGGTCCTTCCCTGGGTAGAAACCTTACCATTTTGGTACATAGCATTTGAGAAACCATTTTGGTACAGAGCATTTGAGAAACCAGTTACTATTTTGAGAATCTAAAATCCGTATAAAATCTTGGCCAAGGCACTTGTTCTGGAAGGCAGAGCGCTAATTCTAGATGCCCGTGCTTGATTTGCAGCTTGCTCTGTGTAACGTCTCGGGGTGGGTTAACTAGGTTCTGGACTCACGCTTTTTTCCCCTCTTTCCCGTGCGTTCCACTTATCTTTTCTCTTTTCTGAAACAGTTGCTAAACTACAATTAGTAAGCGCTACGCAGAACACTCGTAACTACATGGATCCTCCAGAAAACCTATCACTGCCACTAGCAGTACCACCCCCAGTCCCACCTGCCCCTCCGCTCAACGAGCCTGTCCCAGATGAACCTGCCCGAGCCCTTTGCAGCTGCCTCAGGCGGAAAATATCTCGCACCGGCGGGGGCTTGCGTGCCCTGGCCTCCGCATTCGCCATCTCCTCCTCTGATTGGTTGGTTGGGAAGGAGAGGACGGGGGGAGGGAGGGGGGGGGAGGAGGGGGGAGGGGGGGGGGGGGGGGGGGGAGGGGGGGGGGAGGAGGAGGGAAGGAAAGGGGAGGTCGTGTGCACAGCCGGAAATGTGTCGCACCGGCGGGGGCTTGCGTGCCCTGGCCTCTGCATTTGCCATCTCCTCCTCTGATTGGTGGGTTGGGAGGAGATAGAGAGGGGGGCGGGTTGGGCGGGGGGGAGTGTGGCGAATAGAACGAGGAGGTACTTTGCTCGACGGGGAAAACATCTTGCACCGGCACGTGCTTGCTTGAGAAGAATGTCGCTCAAGAACATCCAATTTATAAGAATTATAGATGTAGTTAGAGATTTAGTTGCTATGGAGGCAAACGAGAAGACGCACCTTCCTGCTCCTTGCGCTTGCTACCGGCCAATGGCATGGCGCCACCTGTCCCGCCACCTGGCCCAGGTGCCCCAGGTGCCATTCCAGGCGGTGCATTGCGATGCAGACCACCTGATTTGGCTGCTAGCGCCTCAGGTGGGAGCTCTGCTTGAATGACCAGTGACATGATGAAATCCACATCGGGATAGGGGCCTGATGAGGGGGGGGCAGCGGCAGGGGGCAAAGGGAGCGGGCATGGGGAGGGGGCAGGGGTAGAAGATGGAACTGTTGAGTCGACCCACCACACACACAAGGAGCTCTGCTTGAATGACCAGCGACACGATGAAATCCACATCGGGATAGGGGCCTGATGAGGGGGAGGGGGGGGGGGGGGGAGAAAAGGAGTGAAGGGCAGGGGAAACAGGGCAGGCGGAGTGGAACTCATGCAACATTGTGCCAGTTGCTTGTCAACTTCTTCACCATTCAAGAAAAAGAAAAGGGGAGGTCAAAAAAAAAAAAAAAAAAAAAACACCGGGTACAGGAGGAGGAAGCTGGGAGACGAAGTGTGCGAGGGACCTGGGCAGGCCCTCTAGAAGCTTCGAGGAAGCTGCAATGCCATGCTTGCGACCGGAACCTGGCAGGGCAGGGCAGGGCAGGGCATGTCATATCATGGCTGTGCGGGTAAGTTCTGGTCAGGTGAGAGGCAAGGGCACAGAAAGAGCAGTGGATCAGCTTTAGGGAAGATCAGCCAGCTCACCCACGCATACATTCTCACTCAATCAGTCAGTCATACACTCTCACCCATCCACTCACCCACCCTCTCCCACACCAGCCAGCCAGTCAGAAACCCACTCTCTCACTCACCCGCTCACTCTCTCACTCACTCACTCACCATTCACTCGCCCACTCACTCACTCACCAGGTTTCCACTCCACAGCAGCACTCGCCACAAACTGATGCGTCTTGACACCCGCTGCCCCTGATGCCCCCTCCCTCTGCTGTTCTCCCTTCTCCACCCCACCCTTCTCCCCACCCTCCTTCGCCCCACCAGCACCAGCAGTGTTGCCATCAGCACCAACAGCCGCCCCAGGCCTCTCCCCACCCTCTGCTTCCTCCTTCACCCGTCTAGAAGTCGCCTCCTCTTTCACGTTCCCCTCCCCCCCTGCTTCTGTTGCTGCCCCTGCTGCACCGCCTGCTCCTGCTGCCCCACGCGGCATGAGCACAGCAGCAGCAGCGGCCAGAGCAGCAGACAGGGAGGAGACGGCAGGCGGTGCAGGCCCTATGCCTTGAGAAAGAGACACAGACGGAGGCAGAGGAGGAGGTAAGGGCGATTCCTGACGTTCTGCCTTCACCCCTGCTTTTGAAACACTGTCTCTCTGCACTCCTGCAACCGCTGCTATTTGTGCTGCTGCTGCTGCTGCTGCTGCTGCGCCTGCTGCTGTGCTTGCTGCTGCTGCAGGAGCAGCTGCACTGGTGCCGTTCCTTGCTTCTTGCTCCTTCGCTTCTCTTTCTGCTCTCTCTGCTGCTGCTTGACCCGCTTCCCGAACCTGAGCCTCCCCTGACCTTTGCTGAGCCTGGATTGCCTCCGGACCTGCCGAGCCTGCTTCTAGGTTCGGCGGGAGAGCTGACGGATCACACGGCAACAGGCCGCAGTAGCTGAACCGGTCTACCAGGTCCTGCTGCTCCCGCCAAACCTCCACCTCAGGCTCGGCAGCACCGCCAGGGCTTGCCACCGAAGCTAGAGCTTTTCGCCGACCCTCCTGTGCCTGAAGAGACGGGGAGAGTGAAACAGGAAGGATGGATAAAAAAAGCTGGGATGGGATGGGAAGCGGTTGTGGCTGGAGTATAAAACAATATTCTCAGAGTGTGAGCCTGTTTTTGAGTCGACTCGAAATGTGAGAGGCATGAGATGGTAGCTTAACTGTTTAAGTGAGTTGAGGTACCCAAAGAGCTGCTCGCACTCAACTCAATCAAGACTCAGAGAGAATTGAGTCGACTCAACAATCAGCTCGACTTCAGTAACAGGCAGAGGCAGGCAGGTTACCTTGATAAGTGAGGTGAGGTCCCCAAAGAGCTGCTCGCACTCAACGAGCTCCTCCCACAGCTGAAGATGGTAGAGAACAGTGCGGAAAGGCGGAGAAAGGTGGAGAAAGGTGGAGAAGGGAAAGGGTGGAAGGGAGGGAACGAAACAACAGAATGGTTTGTGTCGGGTCGGGTGTGATTTCTAGCAAAACTTGGAAAGAAGCCTTTGTTATTCGGTGTAGGTATAGCACATGGCCGCTGTATGTGGGCCACAACAGAAGTCTCAAACCACATCCCACTGCCATGCGCTATACTTAAAGAGCACAGGCCATGGGTGGCAGCCGAACTCATGGGTGGCAGCCGAACTCATGGGTGGCAGCCGAACTCCCTCCCACCTTTCCGGCTCCTCAAGAGCGCTGACCATGAGTGCAGAGTGCGGTGGGAGGGACGGGGACGTCAGAGCGCCTTGCAGCAACTCCCGCATGGCCTGGCCATCGTTGAGGGTTGAGGTGACTCAACAGCAGCAGTTCGCTCAATGCGTCACAGCAGCCATGCCACCACAGAGGAGAGCACTGACCATGGGTGCGGAGTACGGTGGCAGGGATGGGGACGCTAGAGCGCCTTGGAGCAGCTCCCGCATGGCCTGACCGTCGTTGAGACGACTCAAGAAGCGAGCAAACCTGGGAAGTGGAGGGAAACCGCGGGGGGGTGGGGGGACCCGAGGGGAGGGGGGGGGGACCCGAGGGGGGTGGGGGGGACCCGAGGGGGGTGGGGGGAAACCGCGGGGGGCGGTGGGGACCCGAGGGGTTGGCAATGTGGCACGGGGGGAGCAGTGTGGGTGGCATGGCATGGGATGACATGGCATGGCATGGGATGGCATTGATTGCAACTGCTGATGGTGTTGCTGCACGAGAGCATACGGTAAAGCCCACCCACCTACTCATCCACCCGCCCGCATGCCCGCCCTCTCGAACTCACCCACCCACCCTCTCACCCACCCACTCACCCCAACCCACCCCCTCACCCACCCACCCACCCATTCCCCCATTCACCCACCCACCCACCAATCCCCCCACCCACCCACCCACTCACTCGCGCACAAAGCCAGGCTCAGACCCGAACTTCTGATTCGCCTAAATGAGCACATTCACTCACTCACTCACCCGCCCACTCACCCACCCACCCGCCCGCCCTCCTACCCGCCCTCTCACCCGCCCACTCACCCACCCACCCGCCCACCCACCAATCCCCCCACCCACCCACCCACTCACTCGCGCACAAAGCCAGGTTCAGACCCAAACTTCTTCATGCCCAGCTGAAACACGTTCCTCGCCACCTGTGGGGATGATAAGGGAGGAGAAGGAGGAGGTGGAGCGGAGGGAAGAAAAAGTAAGGGAAACGAGTAGTTTGAAGTAGCTTAAAGTGGTTTGTAGTGGTTTCCGTGACATCAGTTGTTCACTCACTCGTTGACTCCCTCTACAGTCACATCCGTGTTGCACCTTGCTCTCCTTGTTATGGCACAACTCCACATAGGCAGAAGCCACGTACACGTGGAGTGGAGCGAGCACTCCCGCGCCTTCCTTGTTCCCCATGCCCTCGTTAGTTCATTGCCCCTCTTGCCCTCCTGGCTCACCTTGCATCAATGTCTCACCTTGCTCTCCTTGTTATGACGCAACTCCACATAGGCAGAAGCCATCCTTGCTCTCGTTGCCCTCAATGCCCCCATGCCTCACCTTGCTGTCCTTGTTGTGGCACAGCTCCATGTAAGCCGATGCCACATAGACATGGAACGAGCACTCCCTGTTCACTCACTTGCCGACTAAGCACGTCCGTGCCTTTCCTTGCCTCACCTTGCTCTCCTTGCCCTCTTTGCCTCACCTTGCTCTCCTTGCCCTCTTTGCCTCACCTTGCTCTCCTTGCCCTCTTTGCCTCCGTGCCTGAACTTGCCTCCATGTCTCACCTTGCTCTCCTTGTTATGGCACAGCACAGCTCCATATAAGCAGACGCCACGTACACATGAAACGAGCACTCCCGTGCCTTCCTTGCAGCCAGAAACGCCTCCCTTGCCACCAATGTCCTCCTTGGCCCCATTACCCTCCTTGCCCTCAGTGGCCCCCTCCCTCACCTTGCTCTCCTGGTTCTGACACAGCTCCAGACAGGCCGAAGCCACATACACGTGGAACAAACATTCCCCGTTGACACGCTCGTTCACTCACTCCCCAACTACCTTAACAGTCTCAACTGTGCCTCACCATGCCCCTTCATAATCACATCCCCTCACCTTGCTCTCCTTGTTATGGCACAGCTCCGTATAGGCAGAAGCCACGTACACGTGGAACGAGCACTCCCGCGCCTTCCTTGCTCCCCATGCCAGTCACATCCCTTCACCTTGCCCTCACTGCCCCCCGTGCTCACCTTGCTCTCCTTGTTATGGCACAGCTCCATGTAAGCCGAAGCCACGTACACATGGAACGAGCACTCCCGTGCCTTCCTTGCTGCCAGAAACGCCTTTCTTGCCGCCTCCATGCCCTCTGTGCGGCGCAGGAAGCGCATCAGCTGGTGGTGGGGAGGGGTGGGGAGGGGTTGGGAGGGGTTGGGGGGGTACGGGGTGTAAAACTCACATGCCTTCCTGGCCGCCTCCATGCCCTCCGTGCGGCGCAGGAAGCGCATGAGCTGAGAAGGCAAAAAGATGGGGGAAATAAGGAAGGCGGGGGCAGCAAGAGCGCATGAGCGGATAAGGAACCATGCCTTCCTGCCCGCCTCCATGCCCTCTGTGCGGCGCAGGAAGCGCATGAGGTGAGGGGGATGGGCATGGGGATCGGGGGTTTGGGGGAGGAGGGGACGGGTTGGGGGGATACGATGAAAGAGCACTCCCGCGCCTTCCTTGCCGCCAGAAACGCCATTCTGCCCTGCCCGCCTTTTTTTAGGCGCCTCAAAAACGCGCCTTCCTTGCCGCCAGAACCGCCTTCCTTGCCGCCAGAACCGCTTTCCTTGCCGCCAGAAATGCCATTCCGCCCTGCCCGCCTCCATGCCCTCTCCGCGACGCAGGAAGCACATGAGCTGGCGGGGGTTGGGGGAGGGGGAGGTTGAAAGGGGTCGGGGAGGAGGAAGGGCTATGGACGAAAGGAAATGAAGGAAAGAACACTTGCAAGGTTGTAAAGGGGAAGGGGGACGGGGAAGGGGGGAAGGGCATATGCGGGGACGGATAGGCAGGCACCTGGTTGTGTTGAGTCAGCCAAAAAAAGCGAAGGGAAGGCACCTGAATGTGAGCAAGAGGGCAGCGAGTGGCGGCATCTCCCGCCAGCTGCTCATACACTGCCTTGGCTGCCTGTGGGGGTGGGATGCGGTGGCACAAGGTGGGGTGGAGTGGGGCGGGGTGGGGTGGGGTGGGGTGGAGTGGGGTATTGGGTGGAGTGGTGTGGGGTGGGGCAGGGTGGGGTGGGGTTGGAATGGTGCATGGAGAATGGTAATGATTTTTGCATCCCCCTTCAGTGCTTTTCTGCCGACTTTCCCAGGCCCTTTTCCGCCCTTCCCGCCCATCTCCCTTCAACCTGCCCGTCTCCCTTCAACCTGCCCGCCTCCCTTCAACCTGCCTGCCTCCCTTCAACCTGCCCGTCTCCCCCCAAAATGCCCGCCTCGCTCACACCTTAACGTTTCCGTTTCGTTCCTCCTCTTCGGCCTTCGCCGCCGCCGCCAGAAAGCTACCTGCGCGACGGAAACCGTCCCAAAACGTGTTGACGGAAAACGTCATAAACCGCGTTCGACAGGAAAACCTCCGAGCAAAGAATGATCGCGGATGCAATCGGGTCCGGTGACTAAACAAGTATTTTTGGAAGGCACAGCGACGAATGCGGCGGGAGATAGAACAGAGAGGAGTGTAGCGCTCACCAGGAGGCGGGAATGCTGATGACGCAGCCATCGGCGCGCACTGGGATGATTTTTTAGGCGCCTCAAAAATCACATCGGCGCACAGTGGAAAATTGCTGGAAATACTGGCAGCCCAAGTTCCTGCGTTGGCTTTTCGGTATTCGGGCCAGAAAGACGGAAAAAAAAAATAACGCCGATGCCGGGGATCGAACCCGGATCTTCCGCGTGACAGGCGGAGATACTGACCATTATACTACATCGACACGAAATCCGAGGTAGTGCAATACAATAATTAAAATTTAGTCCTGCGATTAACATGTGTAATCTTGTATATATAAAATTTCATCCTGAAAACACAAATTTGTGTGTATAATAATTTCTATCCTCACATTATTTATTAAATAGTTTGATAGAGTGCTTGCAACAATTTTCTGTATCATATTCCACTTAGAAGGATCCAGCATCACCTCCACGTTTGCTTGAGGGCCAAGTCACAGACAGAGCTTTTTTACGTATGACAGGGCCTGTAATGACGCCTTCATTGCGGTACGACCACGTGGCTTTTCTCACGTGGAAGAAAGATGCCACCTAGTGCCCAAAAACCAAGACATCGTGGCTCCCGCTCGTTTACAAATTATCTGGTGGCTGAGATGCGCGCCGAGATTTTTCCACCGTGTCTCGCATGATTCGCTTACTTCTCGAAAGCGATTGATTCGTACTATCTTCCACTAGCTGTCGAGTTGATGGTTGCGGATGGGGGATGCAACCGAAGGTGTTTCCATTTTGTCGTTTCTCAGTGTTTCTTATGGCTCACGTTCGATTTCGCGACAACGTGAGCAGTGCAACGATTTATTGCCTGATTTTATGCAGTGAACCTGCACACTACAGCCGCGAAAGGAGGGGAGAAAAAAATCCACTCACGCCACAGAATCGCAATGCGCGCTTCGAAACACATACATGTCCGTGGACATCGGCCAAATCCCTAATTTTATCATCGCCGAGCTGCGCTGCCCCTCCACGCTGAAGCTACAGTTCACTGCCCCTCCTCCCGTCCGTCCATCCATCTCCCCTCGCCTCGGAATTTCAGCACATTTCTCTGCAATTTGCAATCTACACAACACACAGCCATTCCTTGGCTTTGCTTCTCCCTGCTTGTCCTGTAACACGACAAGTTTTGCTGCTTGTCCATCCATTGCTGCTGCCCCTTCCAGTGATTGATGGTTCGAGTGGAACCTGTACAAAACTTCATCGTGGGCGTGACCACTCCAAGGTCTTCCTACCTAGACGAGCTATATCTGCAATTCTTGCGCCAAGGTTGTCTTAAACATTCCACCATCTCCTTAGTGCCGACCTCCGGTGCTCTTACATCTTCGCTCGCGAGTATTTTTGAAGTCACACGAACAACTCGTTAGTCAACTCGTCCGTAGCTCTCCCTGCGAACGAGTACAGCTTCGTGAGTCCGAGAACAACCACAGTCTGGTTGCCTCCCCCTCACCTGAAGGATGAAGCCAACGGGGAAGATTCTCGCGATGCTGATCGCGCCCGACACCAACGTCGCGCCCGCCTTTTCGCAGCACCAGTCCGTCTCGACGCGCCGCAGCTCCTTCTCTCGTCGCAGCACGTCGTCGCTTATTGCATGCCCACAGCCGCTGCATCACACCGACCCCTTCGCCAGCAGTTCCGTCGCCAACTCCGCAATACCGTCGCACGCGAACCACTCATTCGCCACCCACTCGCACGCGGCGGCCGCGGCGTCGTCGTTCCCAGATTTCGCCGGATATGGTAACACGGCGACAGCGGGATTCGGCAGCCATTCGCGAAGGTCGTCCTTTTCGTCCACGGGGCAGCTCTCCCTCGCCGCACCAGCCGCAGCCATCACCGAAGCCCTTGAGCAACCGCCGCCATCACCGGAATACACGCCGCCAACTGCGGCGCCGACGTCGCTTCCCGACTCGACCGTCCAGGCGATCACCGACGAACTCAAATCCGTATCCGTCGCCGGCGCGGAATCCACCCCCAAGCCCTCGGTAGTTAACGCGGAGGACGCGCGCAAGCGCGCAATGGACGCCGTGATCGGCGCGGGGTACTGGGAGACGGAGTTTCTCGACCGTCTGATGTTCCTCGAGGCAGATCCGACGTTCACGCAGCTCCCAGCCGACCAGGTTCACCAGATGAACCTGTCCCAGGAACTGCCTGCCCCTCTGGAGCTCCTCGCGCTCGGGCTCGGCGCGGAGGTGGTATCTGAGGAGGCGATTCGGAAGGACCTCCACGCTGCGCGCATGCGCGTGGTCGATGCGCTGATGGAGGCGCAGCATCTGGAGCGCGTCGCGCAGATGTACAGTTACAGCGCGGACGCCGCCGCGGCGTCTGACATCGGCGGTGCCGCCGCCACCGCCGCCAAGTTTCGCACGCCCGCGCCGCGCGTGGCGACTGCAGGCACTAAGTCCGATGGCTCAGCTCGTAGAAAGGTGCCCGAGGGAGGCAAGGCCGCGGCAGCGGCGAGGCCCAAGGCCAAGAAGGCTTCCCAGGAAGGTTCCGCAAAGCCTGCGGAGAAGGGTGGAGAGCTCAAGGCTGCTCTGAAGAATTCCCCCGCCTTGAAGCAGTGGCTCAAGTTCGCAGCGACCATCTGAGTCACGGTGATGATAAAGCTGGTATTTTTAAATGTCTCCGCACAACTTATTACCGTATATCACGCTGCTTGTAAGCAGTGGCTCAAGTTTGCCTCCACCGTTTTGAGAGCTGAGACTTGCAGCAGGTTTGTCTAGTGTTCAGAGTGTGGTGTGCGCGTGTGTGTGTGCGTTAGTGAGTGAGCTAGTGTGTGCTGTGTGCGTGTGCTTGTGTGCGTGGTATAGATTAATGGATTCATCTGTTCATACCTTCTTACTAATTTTTGCTAACCATTAGAAGTCTTAATCTCAATACCTATCTCCCACTGCGAGACAAAAGAACGCTCATTATTGTGAACCTGCATGCAATACCAGACACCTAAGCTTGTTGTTTGATGAGCATACTACCATATTTATTACTCTGAGTATCACGTTCCTGGAAATTTACTGTACACTTCAATATTCCAGAGCACCGCGGACCCAGTGTAGAGTTCCCAGTGTTAGCACAAGAATAACACACCCCCCCACCACTTCTTCAGCCTACCTCTGCATCCAGGGGCAGACTCCTTGGCATCTCCACCACTGATTTTGCCGTGCATACTGTCCACCATATCCCCACTCCTTTGTCCAACACGCACCGCTCTTGATGATTCCCCGCAGCAGACACTCTGTCGCATACCACCCCCTCCCCCGTCATCTTCCCCAACCCTCCCGCTGTCAGATCCCCGCGCGCAAGCTCCTCGACCTCTGGTGCCCTTTGAGCCAACCCAGCATCCCAACAGCCGGCAGAACCTCCTTGAAAGTTGCTGCCGAGGGGAAAGCGGAATGTCAGATTTCATCTTGCTGTCAGCTTCATTGTAGGGCTGGCTGTCCCCTTCAGTGTCCTTGGGAAAAACTGCAGCATCAGAGTGGACCTTTCTGTCAGCTTCAAGGTGCTCCCCGGGGAAAACCGTGGTTACCGATCCGGCCTTGCCCCCCTCTTCCCGTAGCAACGTTTGCGAACAATAGGAGGACATTTCAACCGTCCGGCAGCTTTCTTCCCTCCTGGTTGGCGAAGCTCGCAGTACGGCCATTGCTTGCTCATGAGCAGCTATGGAGCATTTTGACAAGCCTTCTTCCTCCCAAGTGAAATCAACTTGTGAATTTCTTAACAATGTCGGCTGTGTTTGCCCCATGGCGGCAGCAGCAGCAGCAGCAGCAGCAGCAGCAGCAGAGCATTCCGACGAACCTGATTCGTTCGAATCTAAAGACAGATTCTCAAACGACACCTCCAGCCTGCTGCGTTCCCGCGTTTCACCTGCTGCGGCATCAGCACCTGAAGAAACACCTGAAGAGGCGGGCATTGTCTCCCCCGTCACAGACACGTCTGGCCGGCATCCTTCGTCGGCCAGTGTTTGCTGAGACATCCTTTCCGCTTGCCATGGGTCTACTGGCGTGTCGCGGGTCGAATAGGAGGGGGGGCGGCTCGCGGCGGCGGAAGAGGAAGGAGAAACGGCGGGAGGCGCGGTGGGGACGCAGACGGCGGATTCGGAGAGGCGCATGCTACAAGAGAAGCGGAAGAGGATGTTGGGGGGGTAGGCGGCGGAGGGGAAAGGGGGGAGATGCGCGCGCGAGGGGGAGAAGAACGACGGGCTGCGGCGGGACGAGGAGATCCGCGGGGAACGGCGCGCCAGGCATGAAGTTTCCGCAATGTCGCTCTCGCCGTAACCCGTTTCCAGGAAATCGTTCTCCCTTTCGCAACTTTCGTCTCTCTCGCAACTTTCGCCCACGCGAAAAAGCGTCTGCCAGTACGACGAGGTAGACATTCGTCGCCCAGAGGCGAACCCCGCGCGCGCTGCTGGTTCCCCCATCCAGTTCCGCTCAGGGGACGCTTCCATCGCGGAATAACCTCCGCCTTCCCCCCACATGCGCGGGCCAAATTGCGCGGAGAGACGCCCCTTCGCGTCCGCTGGGGAGAAGAACGAGGGGGAAGCGAGAGTCGCGGCGGAACTGGTTCTGCTGCCGCGATCTAAGCTGGGGTGAGAAAACAATACGTCAGATCCGGAATTTCCGTCCGCGATCCCGGAGAAAAAGGGCGGTGCGGCGGCTTGAGGATCTAGGCTGCGGCCTGCGGCGCGATTGGCGGCGAAAAACTCGCCGGACGAGTTGACGAGTGTTGAAGGGGATGAAAGTCGAGGGGAAGATGGGAGCTCTTCCGGTGTTTGTCTTCTGCTGAATTGGCGGATGAATTGGCTGCTGATGTGGCCGCTTCCGAGCTTCTGACGCGACCCGCCATAACTGAAACTCCGCCTAGCCTTCATCGCCACGAGCGCGTTCCGCGCCGGCGCCGGCGCCTTCGGGGAACGCGGGAATGCAGAAAATTTCCAAGATGTAAAATCACCGCGGAAAAATGAAAAGAATTGCACAAGTTGTCGGACAAGGGCTTCTGAGGCGCCCTTACAAAACGAAAGTCTTGAAATGTATGAGGTTGCAAGCGGCAAAACTCTTACGTTCGAAGATAAGTCACTGGCAGGAGTTATCAGAAGAACGAACTGGTAGAAAGTCTGCTGGTAGTACTACCACCGCAAGGCGTCACTTGGGGCGGCTACGCTCAGATATTTAAAATTTCCCACAAAAGCTGGCGTCGCTCTGCCTTGTTGTAGAGACTTTGTCAGGCAATCATAGGTTGCATTCGCACAGTGGGAAGGGAGATGGGTGTGAGCAGAAGCCTCACAATACCCAGTGGGGAGAAGAGAGATCAAAGCGAGCTTTGATGAAGGCTGTAAAATGTACTGTGATCTGTCTGACAGCATCATTTGCACCTGTTAGCATCGCAGCTTCTTGTCCATTGGTTATGCTGAGGAGTGATGTCCGGTGGACGACGCGCGGGTTGTGGTTGTGATATCCGTCACGCGGGTTATGGTCCCCCAACCATTTTTCTGCGCAGTGTGCTTCAAACAATTTGTGGCAAATAGCCGTGAACGTGGAACGAGACAGAAATAAAACTCAATTTCTGCCCTGCAGGCCAAAGGTTTCGGCGGGCCTCCATTGTATGTAAATAATGGGACGCAGTTGGAAATAACCAAATTCATGGTTATGCATACAATTCATGTCTATCTACGTACAGCTGCATTGGTACAACGGTTTTTCGAGTAGTGTGTTCTCGAAGCAGGAAAACCGTTAGGGGAGTGTAGCATGCGTGTGTGGGTTCATTGGGTGTGACACTAGACAGTTGTTTTGTTCAGAATCCCGACTGAACTGGAAACTCTTGGGTAACGCTGCCTGAGATCTCAAGGATGTAAGGAAAAAAAATCCACACTTGACAGTGGGAGGTGATGAAACAAGAGGAGCACTGAGGTGAGCAGAGGTAAGTAAGCTCTGTCAGCAGACAGGAATTCTGGAAACAGAAGCTTCCGCGTGTAGCTGGAGAAAGGATGCACACCTGTAGTGTACCTCGTCGTTTTTTCAAAATTTACTGCCCCCCGGACCTTCCTTGCGGCCCAAAGTGCCTTGCGAGAAAGCCGGCAGAGCCGCACCAATCCGCCCACTGAAAAAGCGCTGCGCGTGTCGTGAATCTGGGATTTCTCCAGGTTCCGTGAATGCGCGCCACCGCTTTTGTTGGAAAAGCGAGGTTGGGTTGGGTGGCGGTGCGTGTGTCACAAAAAATGGTGACACTTCTAGGAAGGGTTTATGCATGTCTGTATGCTTGTTGAAATGTAACGAAGCTGATTAGTGGCGAAAAAAAAAAAAATTGGTGACTCAAAAAGAGTTGAGGGTTGAGTCCACCTCAGGGAATGGGCTTCCACTGGAGACCAGAAACGATGACAGACTGGAGTCAAACATTTCTCTTCTGCTTGGAAAAACGAGTGATTGATTTGAATGGTGTTCAGCAATCCAGGGCACTTTTGTCACCTTTGTCGTGAACATCATGGTTACTTCCTGACCGGAGGGGCAGGTGCATGTCGCCAGCTGTTCAGAAGCGTGGTTCATTAACCCGTTATTAAACGGAGCGGTGTGAGCGGCGCTGTAACGTAGCTAACAGCACAAAACCTCGTGAGCTTACGATATTACATGTCAAGGATATATTGTACAGGGTGTTTTCCCACAAAAAAAACGCAACACTATGAATGCAATGATGAGGACTGCTCTCTCTGGCAGCCTAACATGCTAACTTGTATACAGTACAAGCAATGAGTTACAGTTTCTTGTGCAAATTGTAACTTCGTATTTTTTTGGTAAAGAATGGGATGGGATTGTGATGAATTTGATGCATGGGGACAAATTAATGCGAAGCAATGTACCTAATTTCCATTATTTCCGTGTTTGTTGGTCCCTATTTCTGCCTAGCCAATGATTCCTTGCCATCCAGTATCTCACATCTATGCGACCCTAATTGGGCTATCATACCATGCCATTGCCACCATTGCTGCTTTGTACGGTAACGGTGTCGAAAGGCTAGGCAATGGATGATTCAACTATCGAGAGTGTTGGTACAAGAGGAAAAATCTAAGGGGTTGTACCCCACAGTGAGTACCCCACTACAGCCTATCTAACTTCAACATATAAACATATGTTTGACACACCCCCATAGGCAAAGTGGAGGAGAACAGAGGGTCACAAGGCCAGACAGGAAATGCAAAGCAAGCTCAGGGTGGATCACAACGTCACCACGCAATCTGAGCACAAGCAAGAGGCCACAAGGCCAGTTCACATGCAGAGATATATGTGTAACAACAACAGCACATTGATATCAGCCTACAAGAGCAAGCATGCAGGTATACATATAGATCACAGTACAAACAAAGCCTACAGCAAGTGAAGAAGCGTGGGCACAAGGCCTAACAAAGTACAGAAACGCTGATGATCACCAGGCGGAAGCGCCTTGGTGAATATATCAGCAGTGTTGGCCCGAGTGGCCACGTAAGTAAGACGAAGCTGGCCACGCTGCTGCAGCTCTCGAGCAAGGAAGTAACGGAGAGCGATGTGCTTTGTTCTGTGCTCCAGTCTGTGCTCCTGACACAAGGCGATGGCGGCCTTGTTGTCGACGTACAGAACTGGAGGAGAACGAGGCCGCTCTCCCAAGTCGGTCAGCAGGTAGGTGAGCCAGCGTAGCTCCTGCGCAGCCATGGCTGTGGCGTAGATCTCGGCCTCACAGCTGGAGCCGAGAACTGAAGACGAACGTGTAGAACGCGTGGAAACTGAACCAGAACCAAGGCTGAAGGTGTAACCCTGTGACGACCGCTGCGTAGCCTGGTCGTCAACCCAAGAGGCGTCCGAGTGACCAGTGAGGACAACGTCACCCCGTCCTCCAAGCACGAGCCCCATGCCCGATGTACTGCACAAGTAGCGTAGTACCCTCTTAGCAGCATCCATGTGCACCTTTCGGTGCCGACCAGGAGCCACGTAGCGAGCCAGAAGACCAAGAGGGTACGCAAGGTCAGGACGAGTGCAGGTCATCAGGTACATGAGGCAGCCCACTAGCTCTGGGTAAGGACCACTCGGCTCTACGGACTCGTCCGAAGGTGGAGCTGAGAGCGAGTGACCTGTAGCCAGAGGAGTGGGCTGTGCTAAGGACCAGGTGAAGCCGAAGCGGTGAAGGACCTGCTGCACCATGTGTGACTGAGTCAGTGTGATGGTGCGGCGTGCTCTGTCCCGAGTGATCTGCAAGCCAAGATAGCTGTGCAGCTCACCCAGGTCTATGCACGTGTGTCTCTTCTGCAGCTCCGACTTCACCAGGGCGAGAGCCTCAGTATCAGCAGTGGCAAAGACCAAGTCGTCGACG